AACATGAATCGAAAAAGACGAAGATTGTCAAACGAGCAAGGAAGATCGTCGTCAAACTATGTTCTAACTATCCTTGAATACTCCCCCCGGAGAGGGGCAGTCCCGACTTAACTCAAACCCCAACGTCTCAAAACAACAAATCGCACCCTCGCCTTTGATAGGCTCATGTTCCACCACCACTACCATAGGCAGGAGGAGGAGGAGGAGGAGGAGGAGGCAGAGGAGGACCTCCTCATCCTCCCTTCTCCCCCGTCCGACATCTGGTACACTGGTGGCGGCAAGTTTGCCCATCCGCCCTCGCTCTTCCTTGGGGTGTTCCTCCGAAGCCTCCGTCGCTCCTTGGGCGGCGACGGAGGGGCGCCGCGAGAGCCAAGCGGGCGCGCGGGAAGAGGCCCCCAAGACGCCCCAAGAGGCGCCCAAGAGGCCCAAAAGAGGCCCCAAGAGGCCCCCAAACGGCCCCCAAGAGGCCCCAAAACTCGGCTAGCCCACAACGGTGCGACAATATGGGCCGGCGGAATGAGCGAAGCGATTAATAAGAAAATATACAAAACAAATGCAAACATCGTCCCCGAATTATGTTTCGGGGCTGTGTTTGCAGATTCCCCCTGTTGGGAGGCGGTCGCCAGCTCGGCCGAGGCTGCCACGGGACTTGTGGTCCTCTCGACAGCCTCGAGGCCGAGCCTCGGGGCCTCAGCTCTCGAGGGGGCGGAGGAGGAGGAGGGGAACCAGCGTTAACCCAAGGGTCATCAACGATATTGAAACCCTCCCTCCAAGCTCCCTTCACAGGCCCCTTTTATAATGGTTTTTTGATATTCATGGAACTGCCTCGTTGGAAGACACCCGTTTGAAGACCCTGAAGCATGCCAAAACTTGTTATCGGAATTCCAACGCCACGGATCAACCTGACTTTTGCGTCTTGACGATCCTGAATCGTGCCAGAACGCCATTCTTAGGACTTCAACACAACGAATCATCGTAACTGTTGCGCCCGCATAATCCTGAATCATTCCGAAACACCATTACTGCTACGCTGATGATTGGAATCCGTGAAACCCTTGCAAATGTTTAAAACGAATGTGCGCCGCGCTACGGCGAAAACCACAATTTGAAAAAAACGCCCTCAATCCGTGAACCTCCTGCAAATGTTTCAACAACGAATGTGCGCCGCGCTAAGGCGAGAACCACATGTTGAAAAGGAACCGCCCTCAATCCGCGAAACCCTTGCAATTTTGAAAAACACATGTGCGCCGCGCTACGGCGAGAGCAACCTTCAAAAAAAATCCCGCCCTCAATCCGTGAAACTCTTGCAAATAAAAAAGAAGTGCACAGCGCTAAGGCGAGAGCCACAATTTGAAAACGACTCGCCCTCAGTCCGCGAAACTCTTGCACATGTTTAAAACGAATGTGCGCCGCGCTACGGCGAGAGCCACATGTTGAAAACCATCCGCCCTCCATCTGTGAAGCTGTTGCCACTTTTTAAGCTTCAGAATCATAAATGGTAAGGAAGTCTCAGGCGAAACGCCCAGCCCGCCCTAAATACTGGACTCGGGGTGCGACAGGGAGAAATTATCTATAAGGAAAAGAAATGGAGGGGGAGGAGGGGGAGGATGGGGAGGAGGAGGAGGGGGAGGAGGATGATGAGGAGGGGGAGGAGGAGGAGGAGGGGAAGGAGGAGGAGGACGAAGAGGACGAAGAGGAGGAGGAGGAGGAGGAGGAGGGGGAGGAGGTGGAGGTGTAGTGATCCCGCTCCCCCCTCGGCCCGGAGGTCCCCTGAAGTCTCGGGAGGTCCCATTGAGGCTTCCGACAAACAAACAGCAAAATGCATGCAAGCGCTGCGATCATCGATCTTTGGACGTCGCTCCTCCTTCCTCTGTTCAGCCTCCCTCTTCCTCCCTCCTCTTCCTCGGTTCCCTGCCCCTCCCCATCCTCCCCGTCCTCCTCTTCTGCGTCCTCCTGCTGTTCATCCTTCGCTCCTCCGCTTCCTCGTCGACGCCCCGCCGTCTCCGCCCTCTGTCGACTGCCCTCCTGCTGTGGCCCCGTTGCCTCCTCCTGCTGCTAGTCGTGCTGGTCCTCCTGCTCCAGCCTTCTCCCACCCCCTCTTCCCATCATGATTCCTTCCGTTTGTGCCGATGGTGCGATGGGCTGAACCAATCTCGGCGGCGAGCGAGGGGGGGAAACGAGAAGGAGAAGGTCTTCTCAGAAAGCGGCAGGACTCCTCCGAAGCCCCCGCGCCTTCTGAAGAGTAGTCTTCTGTGTCTTCGGGAAAGGCTTGGAAAACTTCCTAGAGGGCCGGGGGGCTTCTGAGCCTTCTGAGAAGGCCTTCTCCTTCTCTCAGGGGCGGGCAAACATGGATTGCCGATCCATGAATTTGGCGCGCGGTCGCCGAATCCATGGATCGGGGGGAGTGCCCTCCCCAAAATGCGGCCAGTGCCGCCTCGTCTGGCGGCGGAACCCGTCGCCAATCCACGCCCCCTTGATCCATGTTTGCGGTCGCCTGAGGGAAGGCCTACTCTTTAGCAGGGACCGACCGTCCTGGTATTCTTACTTGGCCTACCACGACATGATCTTTGAATCCTTATACAAAAACTGGAAAACAACACGTTCTCATAACATAAACCCGATGTGCTAAAACGAGACGGCCTGAGCCAGAAATGGTCTAGGAACAATTCGTGCAGACCACAAAAGAGGTTCTCAGCTCATTCTCTGGTGGGCCCATAGGCGAGCCAGGACGCTTCGCCACTGCTCCATTCTCCTTATCCCTTCCCCCTGGCCTAGCCGCCGACAGTCAGCCCGCCTCGCATCCATTCCCCCCCCCCAGCCGCCCGGCCTCGGCCCCCCTGGCGAAAGGGGGGGGGAGGCCTGGCATATACCGTCTAGAAGGGCTGGGCCCAAACGTTGTTTTTCTTTTTGTGTTCGTTGTGTTGTTGTTCGTTTTGCTCGACCTGTTTTCATGTACCTCCCTGCCAAAACGGAAGCAAGACACAGCCGAAGTCAAGCAAAACAGCGTTGAGGTCCAGCCCAGCCTTCTAGGGCCTGGGATACAAGAGTTGGGGGTCAATCGTGCAGCACCCCTCTTGAGGATCGGCGACCCCCCTGGTATCTCTCAGGCTTTGGGCCAAAACAGGCTGCGGAGTGTTCCCAAATCAGAGCTTGCCTCTGTAGGGGTCCTAGCGAATTCACTGGGTTAGGTGAGGTGCGTCGGGAATTGTCCCGGGTGCCCGGGTACCCATGTTCCCCGGGAGCGTCGGGAATTGTCCTGGGCGCTCAGGTGCCCAGGTGCCCGGGTGCCCGAGTGCCCAGGTGCCTGGGTGCCCGGGTGCATTGTAGCCCTATAGCACTATAACCCTATAGCCCTATGACCCTATAGCCCCATAGCCATGTAGCCCTATAGCCCAATAGCCCTATAGCCCGAAAGCCCCATTGCCTTATAGCCTGATAGCCATATATCCCTATAGCCCTATGGCCCAATAGCCCCAGGCCCTTTTGTACTATAGTCCTGAAGCCCTATAGCCCTATAGCCCAATCGCCATATAGCCCTATAGTCCTATGGCCCTATAGCCATATAGCCCTATAACCATATAGGCTTATAGCCTTATAGCCCTGTAGCCCCATAGCTCTATATGCATATAGCCTTATAGCCCTACAACCCTATAGCCCAAGAGCCCTGTAGCCCAAAAAAGATTGCGGTTGGGGATGCTCTCCGGCATCATGCAACTTTTTGGTTGCAGTTGTTTCGGTGATGCCCTCTCCCCCGCCCCAGTAGTGGATGCCTAAAGTCATCAGCAACAGACCTGGGACCTGCGCGTGCAAGAAGTGCGAGCAGTGGCAGCGGGCGCTGGCGCTGCCCGGTGTGAGATGCGGGATTCGGCGTTGGAGTCCGATGTCATCGGCTGCAACGCTGGGATCAGCGCTCGTGGGAATGGCTGACAGTGGCAAATGGGGCCTGGGCGCTGCTCAGCGGGTGGTGGGAGGCGACGCTGGAACCCACTGTCACCGGTGACCTTTTGGACCCACCGTCGGGTGGTACGGAAAGTACCCAGGGAAGCTCTGACGCGGGAAAGGGCGGACGGGGCTGGGGTGGCCGGAGAATTACGGAGGCGAAGCGAGGAGGAGTGACAGGGGAGGGGAGGAGGGGTCGCAAGGAGGCGGGCGCCCCTCGCGCTGCACCATGCTGCCCCCGCATGGTCCTTCCGTTGTTTTTCCCTGTTTCCCGTCGTCCTCGCCTGCATCCCCTCCTCGGGGATCTTCTGACCCGGGTCAATCCAGACCCAGGTCAGCAGGAAACCAAAAGCTGCAATGCAGGAAAAAAAACTGCAGCGCAGGTCTTCGCAAACCAGGGTCAGCCAATAGGCACGGCCGCCTCGCGGCCACGAGCGGCTCGCTGACCCGGGTCAGCCAGAGGGGGTCTTAGCAGGATCCTGCAGGATCCAGTGCCCTGGCTGACCCCCGTTTGCACTGACCCCCGTCTCTTAGGCCCCGACCTCCTGCACACGCGTCATAGCCGGCGCACTCCTGCCACACTTCTCTACCCCCTCCCTTTCTTTCTGTTGACCGTCGAAAGGTTCCCCCTTCGGCCGCCAAGTCGCAGGCTGGGAGCGAAAGATCGCACGTGACCGGCGTGCGACACCGGATGACGACGGCGAGGACTTTGGCGAAGCGAGCAGCGACTGCGTCGGCGGCGGCAGCGGCAACGACGACGATGACGAGACACGAGACCTCGAGACCTCGACGCCCCGCTCCGTGGGCCTTTCGGCGTGCCGTGGTGGAACGCATCCACCATCGCGTCGGTGGTCATCACCTGAGACGGAGGAAGGGGGGGGGCAGAGGAGGCAGGAGGGAGAGGGCAGGGAGGGAACGAGGAGGGGGGGAACAAAAAAAGGGAGGGCTGCGGAGGTAGAGGGGGAATGATGGCAGAGGAGGCCACCGACAGAGAGGAGAGCGGAAAGAGGGAGATCAAGGAGGAGGGAGGAATACCAGGGAGGAAGGATGACGGAGAAGAGGGAGACGGATGGCGGAGGAGACTGGGTAAAGGATGGACCATGAGGGAGGAGGACAAGCATGGATGGAGAAGGAATATCCCTTCACCCCTCGTCTTCGCCCTCGTCGCCCTTGCTCCTTGCCTGAGAGGGGTAGACAAGGAGGAGTACTGAGCCAGGAGGAGAGCATCACCCTGTGATAGCTGATACATCGCCGGCACATCGCGGTGGGCAAGGGGGGGCACCACCACATCGATCCGAGCGCGCCCAGACAGAACAGACCCTAAACCCTAAACCCTGCATCCTAAACCAGGGGAAGAACGAGACAGGCGAAAAAGGCGAGTACGCGCGACTCGACGACTGAAGAAGGTAAAGCACGGCGAAGGAGAATTCCAGAAGACAAAGCCAGAAACAGGCGCCGTCTCAAGCGTGGAGAGGACGGGGGTCGCCCTTCCACTCCCGAGAGTTAGGATCCCGACAAGCCTCGAGGGACTCCAAACACGCGGCGTCCTTGCTGCATGCAATGCCCGAGCAGTGACCCCAAAGACGACGGCTGACCCCCTCGCGCCGCAGCGGCAGCAGAATGCAAAAGGGTCGTCCTCGCAAGGCCGCTCTGGTGTCCCCGGGTTCGACTCGGCCCTACAGGGCCTTGAGCGGGGAGGGGGCAACCGGGGAGGACGGCATCCCGAGCGACCCATGGCCTCCAAGAAGGCCCTGACGCTGCCCAAGAGTGCCCCAGGACGGCCCAGAGAGACCCCCAAGACGGCTCCCGACGGCGTCAGACGGCCAAGGAACGCCCCCTAAGACGGCCAAAGAGGCCCCGAACAAGCCCCACAAGGCCCCCGAGAGGCGGAAGGAGACCCCCAAGAGGCCTTCCAGAGTCTCCCAGGAAGCTCACAGGAGACCCCGAGAGTGCCCCAAGAGGCTCCCAAGAGGCCCACTCCTCCTCCTTCTGCTGCTCCTCCTCCTCCGCCTCTTCCTCCTTCTCCTCCCCCCCCCTTCCCTTCTTCTCCTCCCCCCCCCTTCGCTCGGAAGCTCCCGCCTGAAGTGAACCCCACCCTCCCCCTCAGAAATCGTGGGGGGTAGGGGCAGGGTTCGCATGTGGCCCCCTACCTCGTGCTCCTCTTCTTCACGTGTTCCCCGAAGGGCTTCGACGATGGCAAGGGGGACGCAGGGTCCGACGGCTTGGCTCAGCTCGAGCCCGACGCCTGAGCCACACGGGTGCCTGCAAGAGGCCAGGGGGCGGCGGTGACTCGCAGCAGGCGTCCACGACAGAGGCCTCCCAGATGGGGTCCGTGGGAAGCCGGGCGAGGGCTGCTAAATCCGTGGCCGCTAACATCGACCTCCGGGAAGGTGTCTTCGTCCCTCCGGGAAGAAGCCCGTTGCCTGTTCCGCGTGCCGCGCCTCATTTCGGGAAGCTGTGTTTCTCCTTCGATATGGCTGTTTTAGCAGCCACGGTTTTAGCAGAGAACGCCCAGCTTCCGAGTCCGAGCGCCTGGGGTCGGAGGATGGCGCCACATCGCCGGTGTCGGCGATGCATCAGCGATGCAACGGCGACGCCGGCGAGCGATGCATCTGCGACGTCGGCCCGGAGGAAGTCGGGCTCCACATCGAGCCTCATCGCCGATGCATCGACGATGCTTCGCGATCCCCCGACCCCAGCTACTCCGACCCGATCTGGAAGGCCTAGAGATTGACAGGCGACGATGCTGAATCGAACCTCCCAAGAACTGCCTCTCAACGTTAGGTCAGGCACGTCCCCCTTCAGGTGGATTTTGGACGAAAGATCAAACGTACCCAACATATACTCAAACAGCAATCGAAAAACAATAGAAAAATGGTCCCCTGACCATTTGTCGACTTATTTTGCGAATACTCCTCCCGTAGTGGGACTGCCCGACGTGATCCCAACGACCCCTGACCATTCCCCCTCCCTCGGCACGCGCAGGAGCGACCCAGGGCCCTCCTCCTCCTCCTCCTCCTCCTCCTCCTCCTCCTCCTCCAACCCCCTCCTCCTCCTCCTTCTCCTCCTCCTCCTCCCTCCTCGTTTTCGTCCTCCTCCTTCTCCTTCTCCTCCCCCTCCCTCCTCGTTTTCGTCGCTCCTCCTCCTCCTCCTCCTCCTCCTCCTCCTCCTCCTCCTCCTCCTCCTCCTCCTCCTCCTCCTCCTCTCCTCTCCTCCTCCCTCCTCCTCCTCCTCCTCCTCCTCCCCCTCCTCCTCCTCCTCATCCTCCTCCCTCCTCCTCCTTCTCTCCTCCTCCTCCTCCTCCTCCTCCTCCCCCTCCTCCCCTCCTCCTCTCCTCCTCCTCCTCCTCCTCCTCCTCTCCTCCTCCTCGCCTCCTCCTCCTCCTCCTCCTCCTCCTCCTCCTCCTCCCTCCCCTCCTGGTCCTCGTCCTCGTCCTCCTCCTCCTCCTCCTCCTCCTCCTCCTCCTCCTCCTCCTCCTCCTCCTCTCCCTCTCCTCCTCCTCCTCCCTCCTCCTCCTCCTCCTCCTCCTCCTCCTCCTCCTCCTCCTCCTCCTCCTCCTCCTCCCTCCTCCTCCTCCTCCTCCTCCTCCCCCCTCCCTCCTCCTCCTCCTCCTCCTCCTCCTCCTCCTCCTCCTCCTCCTCCTCCTCCTCCTCTCATCATCATCATCATCATCATCTCATCATCATCATCATCATCATCATCATCATCAGCATCAGCATCATCATCAGCATCAGCATCATCATCATCATCATCATCATCATCATCATCATCATCATCAGCGCATCAGCATCATCATCATCATCATCATCATCATCATCAGCATCTCAGCATCAGCATCAGCATCAGCATCAGCATCATCAGCATCAGCATCATCATCATCATCTCATCATCATCATCATCATCATCATCATCATCATCATCCTTCTCCTCCTCCTCCTCCTCCTGCTCCTCCTCCTCCTCCTCCCTCCTCCCTCCTCCTCCAACTCCTCCTCCCTCGACACGCGCAGGAGCGGCCCTGGGCAGAGCGCGGCCTTCGGTGCGCGGCCTCGCGGGGGGGCCCGCCCCCGGGCGCGCTGTGCCACTGCTGCCGCACCGCTCCCGGCGCGGCCGTGGGACCCGTGGGCCCGTGGACAGGACGCCCGCTGGGGCCCCCCGGCGGCGCCCCTCCAGCGCCGCCCCTGGCGCGCTCTGCGCGCCAGGGAGGGGGATCCAGCGCCGATCCGAGAAATCCGCGCGGACCTACAAGTTTTTATGTGTTATGTCACTTGTTGTTCCCCTCCTAGCGAGAGGGCACAAGACCCTTCCGAGGGCCACGTTGCCACAGAAATGCAGGAGGCATGGGTCGCGAGGCACATGACACAGGGGCACTCTTGACTTGGCAGGGTCGACCTACCAATCCGAGCCGGCTGTATCCCATCCCCATCCCCAGCGGTGTGGCCTGGGCCCCCCCACTGGCCGATCTACGCCCTGGATGGGGATATAGGCTGTTCCCTTCGGGTTTCGAGGGGCGTGTCCCTAACTGGGGTGGTAATTTGGTGGGGGTCCCGAAGGAGATGGGGATGGGGATGGGGATGAGGATCGGTGAAACGATACCGAGTGTTGGGCAGGGACCGACCGTCCCCGCATTCCCAAGGAGGGTCACCACGACGCGATTAATTACCAAATAGTAATCTCGGAACGGTTCTGGCCAATGCTGTCTTGGTGTAGCACATCAGCCTGATGTTCTGAGAGCGTGGCTCTTGTTCTAAGAAGATTATTTGGTTCTTAATCGCGTCGTGGTAGACCTATGCGAATAATTAGGGGGACGAATATAATTACATAAACATACAAACTTGGAGGTCCGCGCGGACTTCTCGGAGCAGCGCTTGGGCCCCCTTGCGGCGCCTCCGGCGCCGCCCCTGGCGCGCTCCGCGCGCCAGCGCGGATCCAAAAGATCCGCGCGGACTTCCGATGTTTAATGTTTATGTCATTATTCGTTTTCCTGATTGTTCCTACTGATCTACCGCGACGCGGTTAAGAACGAAATAACATTCGAATAACAAGAGCCATGCTCTCAGAACATCAGGCCGATGTGCTACAACAAGCCAGCATTGGCCAGAACTGTTCTAATAACCTCTCGTGCGAACCACAAGAGGTTCTTAGAACACTCTTCTTTGGCGAGTCAGGACGCGTCGCCACTGCTTGACAGTGGGCCTGCACCGAACATCACTCTGGCGAAGGGCCTCTTACTAGAAGAAGAAAAAACGGCGTAAACAGAAACCTGCGGCGCTGCGAGCGGATTTCTTGGATCTGCGCTGGACCCCCCCCCCTCCCCGGCGCGCGAAACGCGCCAAAGGCGGCGCTGGAGGCGCCGCCAGGGGGGGGGCCCAGCGCGGATCCAAGAAATCCGCGCGGAGCGCTTTGTGTTTACGCAGTTTTATCCTCCTCGCCGCGGGGGGGACCCAGCGCGCATCCGAGACATCCCCGCGGAACGCCAAAAGTTTATGTTTATGCCGTTTGTTCTTCTTCGACTCTCGCGTGCAACCGATCCCTTGACTCCTCCTTGCTTCCGGATTCCTGGGCGCCGCTCGCCACCAAGAACCCACCTCCTTGAAAAGCCCAATGACAGGGCCAACGATTCTGAATTCTTGACCCGTTGGCAAGAAGCACCTGTGACCTTGCAGCGGAGGCCCGACCACAAGACACCTGGCACAAGAAACCCAACCCTGAGACCCCAGGACGTCCGTGGAAATCTTTGGCGTGGGAGCCTCCCGCTTCCCATCGCAACACCACCGACGCCGAAGAAACCCAGGGCACCCTGGAGGCGAGCAGGGTGTCTCTTGGCATGGGCCTCCACTGTATGTAAGGCGGCCCACCTCCGCCTCCTCCTCCGCCTCCTCCTCCTACTGAGTACTACTGTTCCTCCTCCTCCTCCTCCTCCTCCTCCTCCTCCTCCTCCTCGGGCCACTCTCGCGCGCCGCCGATCTCCACCCCTCCGCGGCTCACCCTCGGGCTCGCCGGCACGGGCGGCCCCTCGCCAGAGGCGCCCGCGGGCCGCCGGCCCGGAGGCGGCGGCAGTCCTGCGAGGCGCCGGGCGCCGCCGACGTCGCCGAGGTCGCCGGCGGCCGCCGCCGCCGCCGACATCCACTCAGCAGGGACCGACCGTCCCATCATTCCTATAGTCATACCACAACATGCTCTTAGAACCCAACAATGTGCTAATAACAAAAACGATGTTCTCAGAGCCTAGACCCGATGTGTTAAAACAAGACAGTCCCAGCCAGAAATGTTCTAAGAACATTTCGTGGGAACCGCAAAAGGTTCTTAGAACATTGTTTGGTGGGGCCATAAGCGAGCCAGGACGCTTCGTCGCTGCTTGAGTCCACCGACGGCGGGGGCCACGGCTCGGCACTTCAAAGAGCTCGGACTTCGGGACGGCATGGTGAGCGTTGTGTCTTACATTCGCGTGTTTCGGCGCTGGGCGGAGAGGAGGGGAGGGAGGGGTTCTGGCATCTGGCTCCGGACCCGTGGTTCGTGGGGCGGTTTGCAGCAGTGCGTCCGGTGGGGGTGACTGCAGCTGCTCGGAACAGGCGCCCAAAACAGACAAGTCGGCGGTGGACAAACCTCCCTTTCGTAAACCTCCCCTTAGTGAAAACGGCCTGGGGCCTGGACCCACAAAAATGACGGCCGCGACGCCCTCTCGCGAACCGAAAACGGCCAATTCCTTAATCGACGTGTCAGGGTAGGAGGTCTGTCCACCCCCGCACAAGACCTACTCCAGAGGGGGGGTGCGAGGGCCCGCGCCCAGCGGCAAAACAATGACTCAGAAAACGATCACATTCAAATTTCAAGTGGCGGCTATGTCCTCGACCTCGGCCCCGCGGGGACCGTTTTCGGGCTCCGGGGCCCTCACGAACGGTTCCAGGGCGACATGCTTGCCGCGAGAGAGGAGTGATGAGGGGAGCAACACCAATACCAATACCACGTCGCCGTGGGGAACCAGTCAGCGTGCTTTTTTGTTGAAGAAACGCCGGGCCTTGGTGAAAAAACGAAGAAACAACACGCTGACGGACTCCGTCATTGCTACTTTTCAGCCCCCGCCGAAAGATGGGGCCCAGAGGTATACAGTAGGAGCTCGACCACAAGAAACATTCCACACGAGACCCAACCCTGAGATCCCAGGACGTCAATTTGGCGTGGGAACGCCACGCTTTCCATAGCAAAACCATCGAAACCCACGACACCAAGGGTACCCTGGAGGCAAGCATGGCGTTTCTTGGCATGGGTTTCCACTGTATGGGGCTGTGGGAAGCAGGCAGCAATCTAAACCTGGAAGCCCTTTCTTACCCTTAGCACCTCAATCCCAAATGGCCCCATCATCAACCCCCGCAATAGCTGCGGCGGTGGCGCCGCTGGCGGCGTCGTCGTCGGTTGGAGGCGTCGGCGCCGACGGCGGCGTCGGCGAAATCATCTGCGGCAGCGTCGGCGCGGTCGCCGAAAGAATCCCCGATAAAAGAACATCCATGAGCAGGGAGATGGGTCTAACTTCTACTAACACTACTATAAGCAGGACGGGGGAGAAGGTAGGATAGAGGAGGTCGTCCTCCTCCCGCTCCTCCTCCTCCTCCTCCTCCTCCTCCTCCTCCTCCTCCTCCTCCTCCTCTCCTCCACCTCCTCCTCCTCCTCCTCCTCCTCCTCCCCTCCTCCCGCTCCTCCTCCTCCTCCTCCTCCTCCTCCTCCTCGTCCTCCTCTCCTCCTCCTCGTCCTCCTCCTCCTCCTCCTCCTCCCCTCCTCTCCCCTCCTCTCCCTCCTCCTCCTTCTCCTCGTCCTCCTCCTCGTCCTCGTCCTCGTCCTCCTCCTCCTCCTCCCGCTCCTCCTCTCCTCCCTCCTCCTTCTCTTGTTCTTCCTCTTGTTCCTCCTCTTGTTCCTCCTCTTTTCTCTTTCTCTTTGTCCTTCTCTTTGTCCTCCTCGTGTTCCTCCTCCTCCTCCAGCTTCTCTGTTTCCTCTTTCGCCTCCTCTTTCTCCTCCTCATCCTCCTCTTCTTCGTCTTCGTATTCTTATTATTAGTCTTAATATTATTCGTATTATTCGTCCGATTCGTATTATTATGGTTATTCTTATTTTTCGTAGTATTATTCTTCTTATTTTTGTAGTATTATTATTCGTATGAACAGTATTATTATTGTTATTATTGTGGTTGTTATTCGTAGTATTAGTTTTATTATCAATAGTATTAGTATTCGTCGTCTTATTATTATTTTCAATCTTCTTATTTTTCGTCTTAATAACATTATTATTATTATTGTTATGATTATTATTATTATCAGTAGTAGTATTATTAATATGAATATTGTTGTGCTTCTGCTTATTGATATTTTGCTCGTCTCATACTACTATTATTATTATTTCTCCTCCTCCTCCTACTACTACTCCGCCTCCGCCTCCGCTTCCTCCTCCTCCTCCTCCTCCTCCTCCTCCTCCTCCTCCCCCTCCTCCTCCTCCTCCTTCTCCTCCTCCTCTTCCTCCTCCTCCTCCTCATCCTCCTCCTCCTCTTCCTCCTCCTCCTCCTCCTCCTCCTCCTCCTGCTCCTCCTGTTCCTGCTCCTGCTCCCTGCTGCTCCTCCTCCTCCTCCTCCTCCTCCTCCTCCTCCTCCTCCTCCTCCTCCTCTCCTCCTCCTCCTCCTCCTCCTCCCCTCCTCCTCCTCCTCCTCCTCCTCCTCCTCCTCCTCCTCCTCCTCCTCCTCCTCCTCCCTCTCTTACCCATGGCGGTGGCGGGGGAAAATCGGCCCATCACAGGAGGGGAGAGGGGTCGCCTCGAGCAGAGCCGCACCCTTGGCGTCCTGGCGCGTCCTCGAGCGCCGCGGCCGGCGCCCTCGGCGGCGGCCGGGCCACCGGCAGATCCGCGGGTCCCTCGCTGCGAAGACCGTCATGGGCGTGGCGGGGAAAACCGTCCAGAAGCAAAAGGGGCACCATCAGCTGGGGCGCGCACGGGCATACAAAATACTGCGTCCTCCTCGGCTGCTCGCGTCCGACCTGGACACACAGTATCTGGTTGTCTCTAGGGCGGGCGTTTCGGACTCAACCGACTCAACCTCGAAATCCTGCTCATCATCAACACCTTTCTTATCATCAACGTTCTCATCATCATCATCATCATCATCATCATCATCATCATCATCAGCATCATCATCATCATCGTTCTCGTAATCACCCTCGTCATCGTGGTGTTTCATCAACACCGTCATCGTCATCGTCGTCACCGTCACCATCATCATCGTACATCACCCGCATAATTCATGACATGCATGACGATGGTGACGGCTTGGAAACGATGACGTTACTGATGACGATGACGCTAGATATGACGATGGCGCTGATGATGATGAACATGACGATGACATTGATGATAATGAAGATGTTGTTAAAGATGAAGAGGGGCGCGGGGACTACGACATTGCCTGGCTTGAGCCAAGTCCTACGGAAGATGATGGTGACGGTGATGATGACGGTAATGATGATGAGGATGATGGTGATGATGGTGATAGAGATGATGCTGGTTGTATCTCTGAAGTAGGATGGTCACCATCATAACCATCGACATCAGCATCGCCACATGGAAACACTCAACTGACTCAACTGAAACCCGCCCTAAAGACAGCCAGGTGTAGCCATCTTGTCGCATGTCACTTCTCGAGCGGTGTGGCAAGAAAGCGCCCGCCACGACGCATATACCATAAGATGTATCGGTGCGCACGTCGCCCCTGGGGGGGCGACGCACACATAGCATGAGTATACTGGGTGACGCCGATCTGCAGAAGCGCGGCCTTCCGGAGGCCCGCGCGGATGTCTCGGGCCCTGCACTCTTGATGATTGGAGGGGGAGCTGCGTCAGCTGTCTGGTGCAAGGGACGTTTCGCGATCCCGCCACGGCATGCATGCAACGGGATGGCGGCAGTGAGCTCAGATTGCTCCCATTCGAAGGCCCGCGCAGACCTCCCGGACCCAGCACACCTGAAGGCCCCAGCGCCCAGCTGGGAAGCGAATGCTGCATCGTGAACTTTCCCAGAGGCGTGCCACTTCGATATAAGAAGAGCAACATAAGCCAGAGGAACAACAAAGGGTATATACATAATTTCCCGGAGGTCCGCGCGGAGTTCTTGGTGAAGGAGCCGAACTCTATACACCGACGCTTTTTCCAGCCCCGCACTGAAATCCGCACAGGAAATCGGTCTCTGGTGTTATACAGGAACCTGGTGTATACAGTTTTCGCTGATTCCCCGGGAACGGGGAAACACATGTGCACCACACCAGCCCGACGTCGTCCCCGACACTCAAAGAAGTCCTGGGATTGAAAAACAGCCCGCCACTGGTATTGCATATGCTCGAACTTCCGACTTGGATCGGCGCCGTACCCCCCTCCCTGGCGCGCGGAGCGCGCCAGGGGCGCCGCGAAGATGAGCCGCCAGGGGGGGGGGGGCTCCCAGCGTCAATCCCGAGGTATCTGCGCGGACCTCCGAGAGCTTCTGTCACCACTGGCTCTTCTTCCTCTTCGGCCTCCCTCCGCCCCAACCCCACCCCTGAGGGGCAACGATAGGGGTAAGTCGGGCGTGTCCCCCTACAGGGGGATTTTGGATGAAAAATAAAAGATAGTCAGAAAATACCCCGAAATGGTTCAGAATAGTAGAACATCGTCCCCAGGCGTTTTTTTTTAACTCTGTTTGAAGATTCCTTCTGTAGAGGGACAGGTCCGACTTAACGATAGGGGGGGCTGGGGCAGAAGGGGGGACATCGACCTGGAGGCGGCGTGACATCGCCGACAACTCAGCGATGGGCCCCCGATAGTGAATCCGCACTTCTGTGAGGCAGGGAGAGAGAAGGGGGAGAGAGGAGGAGGAGGAGGAGGAGGAGGAGGAGGAGGAGGAGGAGGAGGAGGAGGAGGAGGAGGACGAGGAGGAGGAGGAGGAGGAGGAGGAGGAGGAGGGAGGAGGAGGAGGAGGAGGAGAGAGGAGAGAGGAGGAGAGGAGGAGGAGGAGGAGGAGGAGAGGAGGCGGCGGAGGAGGAGGAGGAGGAGGAGGAGGAGGAGGAGGAGGAGGGACAGAGGAGGGAGAGAGGAGGGGGAGGGGGAGGAGGAGGAGGAGGAGGAGGAGGAGGGGGAAAACACGAGGCAGCGGGCGCCGACGCAGGCTCCGGGGAGTGAATCCGCGCGCCGCTCCTGGGCAGGTGGGGGCCATCGGGCCCCTATCGGCGATCAGTGGGCGATTGGGGGTCCATGCCTATCCCTCCCTATCGTTGCCCCCGATGACCCCACCCCACCTCTCCCCAGACATGCGTTGTCTGGATTTTCATCCACATGGCACCCCTGAAGGTCACCACCCCTTCCCCAGGGCTGGTTTTGCATCCTGGGCATTTTTTGGACTGCCCCGGGGCCCAGCGAGTGCCCCGAGCAGCCAAAAACGACGGAAAACTCTCCGCGGCGGCGCATTTCTCAGGACTGGATCCCCCGCCTCCACGCGAGCAGAATCCATTGGAGGCCGGCGCGGATTGCTCGGACCCGGTCTGGGCTTTCCTCCGCGCTGGGCACGCTGCTGTCTCTCCGACGACTGGGGACCGGAGGATGTGTGTGAACCTCGCTTGGCTGCGATGATCTGCTGGGAGGGATAAGACATGACTCCGTCCTCCTCCATCTCCTCCTCCTCCTCCTCCTCATCATCATCATGATCATCGTCGTCGTCATCATCATCATCATCATCACCAGCATCATGACATCATCAGCATAATCAGCTTCAGCATCATCATCATCAGCAGCAGCAGCAGCATCATCATGATCATGAGCATCAGCATCATCAGCATCATCAGCATGATCAGCAAACTCATCATCATCGACATCATCATCAGCATCATCATCATCACCATCATCAGCATCATCATCATTATCTCCCCCTCCTTCCCCTCAGCTTTCATCCCCATCCTCCTCCTCCTCCTCCTCCTCCTCCTCCTCCTCCTCCTCCCTCCCTCGCACATCACCGAGAGGGCGCTACCTTTCTCGACTGCGATGATTTGCTGGGAGAGACAAGACCAACAACTCCCTGGCGCGCGCAGCGTTCCATAGGGCGTCGGCGGGGGCGCCGAGCTCGCCGTGGGGCGATGGGCGCGGCAGCGGCGGGGGGGGAGGAGGAGGACGAGGCGGAGGAGGAGGAGGAGGAGGAGAATGAGGAGGAGAAGGAGGAGGAGGCGAGGGGGGGGGGGCAAGCGGAGGCCGCGAGGCGTCCGCCATAGTAGACGTTCTCGCGGCCCTTGGCGCCCTCCACCTGCGCCGAGCGGCATCATCGGCACCAGCACCATCAGCGGCAGCATCGTCAGCAAAATGCTCATCCTCGTCATCATCATCCTCATCCTCACCCTTAATCCTCCTCGTCCTCGGCATCAGCGTCATCAGAATCCTTCTCATCATTCCGTCGTATCCGTCGTAGTCATAAGAATGACATATGGTCCATCGTTAACACCATCACTACCACTATCATCACATCAGAAACTACATCATCATCATCACCATCATCATCATCATCATCATCATCATCATCATCATCATCATCATAATCATCATCATCATCATCATCATCATCATCATCATCATCATAATCATCATCAGCATCATCATCATCATAATTATCATCCTCATCCTCATCCTCATCCTCACCCTCATCCTCATCATCCTCATCCTCGTCCTCATCATTCTCATCCTCATACTCATCAGACTCAGCATCAGCATCAACATCAGCTGTTTCATTATCATCATCAGCATCAGCATCAACAACATCATCACCATGATCATAATCCTACTAATCCTCATCCTCATCCTCATCATCATCATCATCATCATCTTCTTCATCATCATCCTCATCATCATCATCATCATCCTCATCATCATCATCATCATTATCAGCATCATTATCATCGTCATCATCAGCATCATCATCAACATCAACAGCATCATCACCACCATCACCATCACCATCACCATCACCTTCATCTTCATCTTCATCATCATCATCATCATCATCATCATCATCATCATCATCAGCATCATCATGATCATCATCATCGTCGTATTCCTACACCCCTCTCCTCATCCACCCGTTCCTGCGCTAGTATCCTCCTCGTCCTTCCCCGCCGTCGTCGCCTCCCTCCTCCTGCCGTGCGTGCTCCTCTGCATCCACCTCCCATCTGACCCTAGGTGCTCAACGTGAGCCCCCACTCGGATTCCGTCACGTCCTCACCCTCATGCCCCTCCTCCTCCTCCTCCTCCTCCTCCTCCTCCTCCACCTCCTCAGCCTCCTGTCCCTCCACTTGATCCCAGTCCCCGATCTGTCCCTGCCTTTGTCCGCCTTCTCGTAGCCCTCCCTCGCGTCTTTCTTCCTCCTTGACCTCTGCCTCTGCCAAACTCCAGTGGCCCTCTCCGTCGCGAGAGCGCCTCTCCCTCTGCCCCTCCCGACGTACCCCTCCCACTGCGTCCCCAGGGCTCCAAACTTCGCGCTTCGCGCTGCGCGAAGCACGAAGAGCGAAGAACTTCGCGCTCTCGCGCCGCCGCCCAGGGGAGAAAAGGAGGACGAGGAAGAATCGGAGCCGAACCGCGAAGCGCGAATAACTTCGCGCCCTCGACAATGCCCTTGTTATCTCTGCAACCCCAGGCTGGCGGTCATGGGCAAGCCGCCGGGCAGAGCACCCCCCTCTCCCACGGAGAAGTCGTCAGGGAACTGCGACAAGAAGTGCTTCAGGCCCTGGTCTGTCCTCTTGAGGTAAAGCCGCGACTCGCTGGACAGCGCCACGCCGAGCATGCTCAGGAGCAGCTCGCCCTTTCCTCGGGGAGCCAAAAAAAACAATATGTTGTATCCTGTCCCGTCGCGACCCCATCGCGTCGAATCCGTGTCGGAGTCGGCGGATCCGTGTCGAATCAGTGCCGAATCCGCGTCGCATCCACGCCAAATCCGCGTCGATTTCGCATCGAGCTCGTGCCGGGCACAAGACTCGGGGGCGCGCAAACATGGATTAGCGATCCATGGATTTGGCGCGCGGTCGGCAAATCCATGGATCGGTGGAGGTGCTCTCCCAAAACTGCGGCCGGTGCCGCCTCGTTCGGCGGCGGAAATCAAAGATTTCCCATTGAGAAAAGACTCGTCGCCAATCCACGCCCCCTTGATCCATGTTTACGATCTCCTGAGAGGGGCACAAGAAAAGGCACCAATGTTGGGAGGCAAGAGTGTTCCCCCCGAAGATGTAGCAGAAGAAGGGCCCAGGGATCGGCCTGACCAGCGGCCATCGGTTTTCGCGCTGTTTGTGTTCGGTGTCCCGCGTTTGGTCTCAGGTCGGGTGTGTCCTCCTACGGACGGGTTTTGGACGAAAAACAAAAACTCCAAAAATGCTCGGACAGTGTCATTTTCATCACAAAAACACAAACAAAAAATCCCCCGGCTAATTGTTTGTATGTTCACGTATTCCTCCTGTAGAGTGACATGCCCGACTCGGTTGTGTCTCCGTTCCGCCACAGCTGCAGCACGAGAACGAGCCGAACGGCTCACGAAATCACCAGAACACAGTTTGGGTCGAGTCCTGGAAGGGGCTGTCGCATCGTGTCTTCGCTGGCGAGCGTCCGCCGCTGAGCGAAGAAGAAGCACGGACCAGCGCGAGCCATTCCCGAATAAAACATCTGCGTCACAGAACTGCAATCACTCCGCGATGATTAGTTGCTTCGTTAGCCGTGCATCGTCTTCTGGGCTCCCGAAGGAAGGATGGCAGGCTGCACTGAGGCGGGGCAGGAAGTGCACAGAACTGGGCGGCAACCAAAGCGGGCGCCAGGGCATTGAGAGGGCAGAGTGGTGAGACAGATCTAGGAAGCCCCTCCGTTCGCCTCCTCCGCCTGCTCCCCCTCCTCCTCCTCCTCCTCCTCCTCCTCCTCCTCCGCCTCCGCCCCTTCCGCCCCCTCGCCGCAGTCCTCCGAGTCGTGATCGCAGGCGGGGCCAAGCCCCAAGAGAGGCCCCCGAGCACTCGCCGTCGCCCGGACGTCCGCTCCCCGTGAGCTGCTGGGCCTGGGGGGCGTCGATGGTCCAAGATGCTCCAAGGTGCTCCACGATGGCCCAGGGGGAAAAAAAATACTCCCAAAAATAGGCAAACCACCATCCGCAAATCGTCCCCAGACTAGTTCTCGCTCTGCTTGACTATTCCTCCTGTAGGGGGGGCAGGCCCGACTTCATTCACGAGGGTGCAAGGTAATCCAAAAAGGTCCAGATGTTTAGGGGGTCACATGCGAACACTACCCCTACCCCCCACGATTTCTGACGGTGCAAGGTACTCTCGGGGATGGACAGACCTCCCTTTAGTAAAACGTGGTTTAGTGAAAACGACCTGAGGCCCAAACCTGGCGGGCGCAGGCCTTGAAAATAACGGCCACGGCGCCCTCTCGAGAACCGAGAACGGACAATTCACTAATCGACGTGTCACTGTTGGGGGTTCTGTCCACCCCCGATACTCCAAGATGGTCCAGACGTTCTGGCCCTGGCCTCGCCGAGCGATGCGACGAACAACGGCAGCCCGCTCCGGCTCCGCACGCTGCCCGTCTCGTCATGGGTATGATCCATCTTCGCCTGCCTCTCACACGCTTCTTCTTCACTGTAGAGGGAAACGGTGCGGGCCATGCTTCCGTCCACATCCACTGCGGCTCGGAGTTTCTTCGGGCTCCCTCCCCCGGAGAACCCGTGCCCCCCCCTTCATGGGCTCGATGCCTCATCCGTGTCCGGAGCGCCTCGGCCTTGCGGCGACCCCTCCAAGGAGTTCCAAGACGCACGGAACATGGATACAAATCTTGCCAGCAGGGTCGTGGGAGGGAGCACCGACGGCGGGTGGTGAGAAGCGGGGGCGGAGAGAGGGCGGGGGGCGGGAGCCGTCTCAGCGAAGAGAGGCTGTGGACTCGTCGGGCTCCGCGCCCCCATTTCTGCCCCCTCGTCGGAGAGGGAGGGAGGGCGCGAGGGAGCGGGTGCGGTGGGCGGGGGACTGGGCATCGCTCGTACTTTGCTCAGAGGGTTCCTCCGGATGCTCCTCGGTGGCCCTCGCCGAGACACGGTGCACACGTCCGAGCGATGCAAGAGGGGGAGGGAGCTGGGGCGGCAGGCGTGGGCGCGCTCGCGCCGCGAAGGACATCCTGCGCCTCCAGCCCGCCGCTTTCCCCCTGGGCCGAGAGCCCCTGTGAAGGGGCCCTGGGACACGCAAATAAATACACACAAATAAAAGGATGCTCCATACTTCCCCATATTCTCTGGGTTTTTGTCTTCCCCCCCACTTCCCATATTTTCCCATATTTTCCTGGGAGTGGACGATTAATTGTGTCTGTGTTTTTTTTCCCCTCCTGAAAGAGGCGGATGAGAAGGAGGAGAGGCAAAGAAAGACCTGTACCGCGCCCGAAGGCGCGTCGCCGGAGGGGAAAAGGAGAAACGGGAGCAGGATGAGGAGGACGAGCAGGAACAGCAAGGAACGGCGGAGCAAGGCAACAAGAGGAGTGGGGCGGCGACGCCGAGCAAAAGTCCGATGGGCGGACACGAAAATGCAGCATCGCGACCCGCGAAGGCGCGAGAGTGCCAGGGCGACCAACAAGAACACGTATACGCCACCGTGCCCCTGGGCACGAGTCGAAGGCCGCTGCTCGGTCCCCTGAGCCCCAGTCCTGACTCCTGAATCATCCTGAGAAGGCCTGGGGCCCAGACTCGCACATCTCCTGGAGCTTGGCGCGGTGCCCCTGGGCTCCCCCGCGTGCTGGCGCGTGATTGCTTCGGGACCAAGATCTCCAAGAGCCCGCCACGCGGGTCCAAAAGGGCACCGAATCGCCACACGATCCATCCGAGACACCCAAGATGGCCTCCAATCGGCCGAATACATGTCCACAGCGGACCACGAGGTTTTCAAGAGCACCCCCAAGAGGTCCCCGAGAAGCAACAATCGCGCTTTTCCTTGGGAGGGCGCGCGCCGCTTGCATATAGCGTTGGTTTGGCTTCTTGCGTTGAGCACTACCACCCCACAAAAAAACATGACGGCCCAAAAGGGCCCCCAAAGGCACCCAAGACAACCCAAGAGAACCCCAAACGGCCCCAAGAAGGGCCCAAGAACGGGAACCCGAGCCGACAAGTCGAGCCTTCCGTGTCAAGATGCCCCACGGGAGGCTCCACGAGGCCCCCAAGCGGCCCCAAGAGGCACCCAGGAGGCACACAAAACGCCCCAAACGGTCCGAAAACGGTCCGATGACGTCTCAAAATTGACCACGAGGCCCTTCGAGAGGCCTCCGGCGACATCCCAACGACCACCCTATAGGCCAACGGCCCACAACCCAAACACGATGGCGGAATAGGCCGATTGGCAATATGACACATGAGCGCGGCGCTACCTGAATTAAACGATGCCTCCTGACAAGCATTGCTTGGCATCGTTTGGCATAATTAGCACCACCCTTGTTGGCATTGCATTGTTGTGTTTTGTTTCGGGTTGTTTGGCAGTGTTCGGCTGGCATTGCGTGGCATTGTTTGGCATCGTTTGGCGCTAAATAGCATGGTTAAGCATCGATTGGTATCGTTTGGCATTGCGTGGCCTTGCTTGGTGTTGTGTGGTAGCGCTTGGCATCAACAGGGTACGGCTTCCCGAATGCGGACATGTTCCGCGCATTGCTTGAGATTGTTCAGCGTTGACTGGCGTGTGTTTGGCATTGATTGGTAATGGTATTTGATACTGGGCCTTGTCTGAACCTGTTCGGCACTGCTTGGCATATCTCGGCAATTCTTGACATGTCTTTGTATTCATTGGCGTTGTTCGGCGTTGGTGTACGTTGTTTTGCGTTGCCCGCCGGCATTTGAATAACAAAACGCGGTACCAGTGAAACGAACGAACCCGAAAATACACAAAGATAACAAAAGGAAACGGGAACGCCCTGCACAACACACAACACTGCGAACCCCCCGCGACAGGGGACGCCGCACCCATCAAGCTCTTCAGAGTCAAATGGCAAGTTCCAAAGCGCAACCTGATTTGGGAATCACGAGTGTGATCCGGTCCAACGAGAAAAAAACCCACGACGCACCGAACCCATTTCCATACAGCGGCCGACCAGATTAATTGGGCCCGAGTCGCTCTGGATTGTGACAGTGTCAGGACCGCCAATTGATGCGCACAAGCTACATAAAAAGCGCGCGTCGAACGACCTGCAAAACGTAAACAAAACGACGGGGACTGAGGCCCGAGGCTCGGTGATGAAATCGAGATGGCAACAAGGGGCTAAGAGAAGGACGCGATGCGGGGCCCAAAAATCAGCGCGGCAGAAAAAAAGAGACGGTGGAGGGGAAAAGAGGACGACAACGACAGGGGCACGATGACCAAGGAAGGAGGGAATTACGTTCCGATGGCACGGTGGACACGCAGCGCGGCCCGCGCAATGTCCCTCCGGCGATCCTTGCGTTTATACTGGACGCGGAAAGCGGGCGAGGCCTAGGTCGCCCCACAGCATCTCCGCATCTTCCCTCTACCTCGCAGCGCGGGAGCCAAACGACCGCAGTCGCGCTGCCAGGTCTCCGGGCGGCCCGCGGGAAAGGAAATCCAGGCCCAGCTCGCGCACCATCAGCAGACTGCGCGCCGTCGTCGCCCGGAGAAGCATCGAGTAAAGATGCAGCCACAGGGCGTCCATGTCCTGCGCGTCCTTGAACCCGGCGTCGCCAATGACTCCTCGGTGCATGGTCCGGCACTGGCAGGCCGTGGACTTCAGGACCTCGGCGTGGAAGATAAACAGGCTGGCAAGCGTGACCGCATGCTTGCGGAAACCAACTGGACTCGAAGCTTGCGGCTCGGAGAAAGACGAGGCCCGCCGCGTCCGTGGTGTCGAAGCTGCGATCGAGCTCCGCGAGCTTCTAGCCGCGAGCGTCAAAGATTGCGCATGGCGGGCGAACAAAGCGCAGGTGCGGAACGCTTCACACATGATATGGAAGAGCGAGCAGGTCCAGAGGAAAAGTCGCCAAATCATGTTCAGGGCGCCCCAAGATTGCACCCCGCCAGCCCTGGAAACTGGAGACGGTTTCGCACATCGCAGCCCCTTCAGCGATGGCGGGTTCGAATATGGATCTGCGTAGCGCGTCACTCCGCTGGGCCCCCGAACAGCCCTCGAAAGACGCGATCCTTCGCAGATCGCAGCCCCTCATGGACGGCAAGGTTCAATCTGAATCTGCGTAGCGCGTCACTCCGCTGACCCCCCAGCAGCCCTCGAACGTGTTGGCAGTTTCGTAGATAGCAGCCTCCCATGGATGGCGAGGTCGAATCTGAATTTCCGTAGCGCGTCACTCCAGTGGCGACGCTTTCGCAGATCGCAGCCCCGAAGAGATGGTGAGGTCGAATCTGAATCTGCGTGACTTTCTTTCTTTCGCTGAGCCTAGAACACGAACAGTGTTGGCCGATTGTACATGCCACGGTTGAAATACAGAGCTGCGCGGTCAACGGAATGGAGAAAGCTGACGGAAGCAAAAACTACATTCTAAACATCACGATTCCCAATGATCTTCGTCACGGCCTGTGCTGCCTCTTCCAAAGCCAGAGCTTCCGCAGTAAATGAAGAAATAGGTGTTGCCATACATGTCCCTGCGATCATTAAAGTCGTTGTGGTTTCGTATTGCCCACGTCGCACCACAGCTTCAATGCACCACGCTGCAGCTGAACACGAACTCGCCCTTGTGCCACCATCGGTGTGGACGATCAGGTTGCATCGTTCCAGGTCTGCCGGGTCAAATGGGAAACTTTGGTACCATGACTTTCTCTCGTCCATGGTGAAGTTCACGAGGTGGTCCGCTCGGATATTCCAGTCGCGCCTGTGCCAGAACACAATGTCATCGCAGTCGCGCGGCGGCCGCCAGCCAATGCACACTATGTCCCAAAAGCTCCTTGTTATACGATGCATCAGCGGTGCCAAGGACGGAGTTGTCAAGACGGTTGAGCCCATGGTGATGCCAGCAAGCGGCCGGCAGTCCGTGATGAAGATAACGCGCCCGCGGTCTCCATCCCACTTCACAGTAGGTGCTCCCGGCCCGTGGTTTCCAGGGAGATCTTCCAGCAATTGTGTAGCGCGTCACTCCGCTGGACTTCCTCAAAGCCCTCGAAAGTGTCGACAGAATCGCACATCGCAGTCCTCAAGGGATGGCGAGGTCTAATCAGATTCTGCGTAGCGCGTCACTCCGGTGGACGCCCCCGCAGCCCTCATAGGTGGCGACAGCTTCGCAGTCGCAGCCCCCCAGGGATGGCGGGGTCTAATCTGAATCTGCGTAGCATGTCACTCCGCTGGACCCCCAGCAGCCTTCGAAAGTGGCGACAGTTTTGCACATCGCAGCCGCCCCTTACGAATGGCAAGGCCGAATCCGAATCTGCGTAAAGCGTCACTCCGCTGGACCCCGCAGCAGCGTTCGAACGTGGCGACTCTTTCGCACATCGCAGCCCCCGAGAGATAGTGACGTCTAATCTGAACCTGCGTAAGGCCTCGCTCCGTTGACCCCCCAGCAGCCTTCGAAAATGGCGACGGACGGTGTCGCAGTTCGCACCCGCACAGGGATAGCGAAGTCGAAGCTAAATCTGCATGAGGAGTCACTCCGCGAGACACCCCAGCAGCCCACGAACGTGTCGAAACTTTCGCAATTCGCAGCCCCCCAGGGATGGCGAGGTCTGACCTGAATCTGCGTAATACGTTATTCCTTTGGACCCCACAGCAGCCCACGACAATGTCGACAAATTCGCACATCGCAGCCTCCCAGGAATGGCGAAGTCGATGCGGAATCCGCGTAGCGCGTCACTCCTCTGACCCCCCTATCAGCCCTCCAAAGTGTCGACATATTCACACATCGCAGCACCCCAGGGATGGCGAAGTCTCATATGAATATGCACAAGACGTCACTCCGCTGGACGCCAGCAGCCCTCGAAAGTGTCAGACGCTTAGCAGTTCGCAGCGTTCCCAGCCCGACAGAGATGGCGAGGACTAATCTGAATCTGCGTAGCGCGTCACTCCTCTGGACCCGCACTCGAAAGTGTCGACAGTTTCACAGTTCGCAGTCCGCCAGGGATGGCGACGTCAAATCTGACTCTGCGAAAGACGTCACTTCTCTGGACCCCCCCCGCAGCCCTCGAAAATGGCGACAGTTTTGCAGATCGCAGCCTCCCAGGGATGACGAGGTCATGTAGGACGGAGAGGTCAGAGGCAGGCTGGCACGCAGGCTGGAGGCACGAGGACGAGGTAAGAACCAGGAGGGCGAGAAAAGAAGGGATGCGGAGGGACGAAGACGCGACCCCAATGCTCTATCCTGGCTGATGTCTGATCTTCCGGGAGAACGACAGCTGCCCATGGAAGTCGAAATCCAAAACGGAACGACGTCGGGGCCTGAAACAACCACGACTGAGGCCCCCAAGCTTCACGAGGGGGGGCCCAGGGGCACGCAGACACACACACACAGACACAACTCCCAGGATTTTCTATGTGCTCTATATGTTTTCAAGTGTCGTCTACGCCTACGCTTCCAATATGTTCCACACGTTCCCTGGGAATTGACGATCCTTATCATCTGTGTGGCTTGTGCCCCCTTCCGAAGATAGGTCTCCGCAAGCCCCTGGGAAGGAGTAAGGGCCCCACCGAAAACAACAACAACAAACATTAGCAACACCAGCAGCAACAGCAACAACAGCAACAACACCTACACCGCCAACAACAACAACAACAAACAAATACAGAAACCTGCCTCGTCCTCCTCCTCCTTTCGGGGATGGACAGACCCCCCTTTAGTAAAACGTGGTTTAGTGAAAACGACCTGAGGCCCAAACCTGGCGGGCGCAAGCCTGGAAAATAACGGCCACTGCGCCCTCTCGAGAACCGAGAACGCACAATTCACTAATCGACGTGTCACTGCTGGGGGTTCTGTCCTCCTCCTCCTGGTGGCGGGAGCTCCTGGCGACTCCATGTACACCCGGCACTCCTCGTACGCCCTCTGCTTCTGGGCGGCCAGTGTCCTCGGCACGGCGCCCGCCGCGCACCCACCGAGGGGGCTCTGGGACTCTGGCCAGGCCCGGCCCGGGCCCGGGCTCGCTCGGGGGATCCCCTGGCTGAAGGGGCCCTGGGACACACGAATTAAGACACGCAAATAAAAAGATTCCCAATAGTTTCCCATAGTTTCTGGGTTTTTGTCCTCCCCCCCACTTCCCATATTTTCCCACATTTCCCGTGGAATCGGAGATTCACTGTGTCTGTTTGTTTTTTCCCCTCCTGACTGACCCGGGCCGACCCAGACCCGGGCGGCCCGCGTCGGGCCCCTCGCAGGACCCGGCGGCATCCCGCAGACTCCTGCGCCCAAGCCTGCAGGCTCGTGCCTTCCTGGCCCTGCAGGACCCTGCAGGAGCCGGCGCTCCGACCATAGCCCCCGCGGCCCCCCCCCGTCTCTCCCGAGCCCCGAGCGGCACGCGCGAGCGCCCTCCCGGGCCCGGGCCTCGCCAGCACGGCACTCCCACCGGCACGAGACCGGGCCCGGGGATCGCCCAGGCTCCGTGTGGACACACCTCGGGCGAAGAGAACTATGCACATACACCGATCCTGGCAAGGCCCATCCTTGACCCAGGATCGGTGCATATGCCTTCCTGGCCAAGGCAGGAGGGCGTATGCACCGATCCTGGGCTCAGGACGGGCCTGGCCAGAATCGGTGTATGTGCATAGTTCTCTTTCCTCGAACACCTCCCGCCCCCAGGGGCGAGGAGCCAGCTGCCCACACCAAGAGCGGTCCGCGATAGCCTCGGAAGCTTGCCATGAATGCCTATAGGGCGACACAGAGACCGAAAGCCGGCCTGACCAGCACAGTCGGCCCGCATCAGAAGGACGCGCGATAAAGATGCAAGGGCCTTGGACGCCCACTTCGATGCCTTTCGAGCGGGGCGCGGCCAACGAAAGTGGCCAAGGATGGACCGAGGAGGCACGGATGCAAGGGTGCCCATGGGAAGATTGCCCATCATTACTATGCGGGTCGACTGTAGCGAAACAGAGACCGAGTGAAACATGTGGACCGACAGCAATCCCGAAGGACGCAGTGGGGCAGCAACCAACCGAACCGACCGAACGACCGCGGGGTGGCCGAACAAAGCGTAACGCGGACACCCCTGGTCCCCAAACCGTTTGGTACTGATCACCCCCATGACGTGGCCAGGATCCATGTATACCCCGATGCCCGCATGGAGAGCGACTGTCGAGCAGGTCTGGTCCTGAAAGAGCTGACCAGACCCTCTGGAAACATGTTTTCCCCGAGTGGCCTGGAAACGACGGTTGGTCACAAAGCGTATGAATGGACTTTAGGCGGATCTGACTGGATGGTGTGCGGATCCGCTGTTGGTTCCGATTGGACTTGCGGCGGATCTGATCTCGTGGGTCGGATGTCGCTTGTTCCAGATATGCGTTCCTTCTGGTCCAAATGAATCCACAACTCCAAAGTGCCTCGCTACCTCGTATTTTTACAAATAGGCAACAACGCGTGCGCCACGCAATGCTCTCTGTGACTCCAGACTAGCTCTTTTCTTAGAGCAGATGTAGGTTAATTGGCGAATTTCGGGGGCTTCATTTTATTGGCCGGGGCAATTCCAAGACATGACGCCCACAAGAGAGGCCATAGACCTTATAATGAAGCAAACAAAAGATATCTAACACACCGTCGACACCAAGCGACTAGTAGCTAGACCTTGAGCGCGCGCGAAACGCGCCATGTGTAGGTAGGTGTATACGTATAACTACAATTGAATACATATGCACACAACTATAAATATATAAGTTCTCATATCGATTGTATGCGCGTCGCTTCTAGAAACCAGCACTGACCCCTAGGATCGTCAAGAACCACGATTCCCCTTGATGGGCCCCCACATTAAACCATGATTCCCCTTGAGGGGCCCAATGTTTACACAGGGAGACGAGAGGGACAACTTTTTACAAGCATGGCGCCAAAAGAGGTTCAGCCGCTTCGCGGCCAACCTCCTTCAAAGAGGGAGTGCACGGCGGGCGGGAGAAGGGTTGCGACCTGCAGGCTCGCAACCAAATGGATGCGGGACGGGAAGAGGGAGAGGAGGAAGCGGGGAGGCAGCAGTGCGGAACCCTGCAGTTAAAGGACAGGCCCCAACAAGAGCACGTTCCCCTTGAGGGGCCCACAATTCACAGGGGGAGACGACAGGGACAATGTTTTCAAGCATGGCGCCCGAGTGGGGTCCAGCCGCTTCGCGGCCCGCCGCCCGCCCGAAAGTGGCACCAAGAGCACAACCCGTGCGCCGCTGGCCTAAGGTGCTAACAGAAGCGCGGGGTCCCCCGCGGGACGCGCCACGGTTTACTGGACGGAAGCCGGCGATAGATGCGCGCGCGACTCGAGGTGCCCTCTCGACTGGGGGGCCCAGCCGTGAGCCAGCTCGGCCGCAGTGCACGGGGTGCGCCAGAGGCAGGCCTTGCATGTCAAAAGATGGCCTGCTCTAGCTTGATCGCTGCGGCTAGCAGAACGAATGAGACAGTGGGGGGGGGCGCGGCGCCTCATTGCGCTCCTCCCCTGGGTCGGCCACGCGCCTTGGTTGCGTTGCGTTCCCCCCTCCAGTTGGCTAGGTGCGCCGGCTGCCGATCGTCATCCTGTTTCGGAATACCTCCCCAAGTAGGTGGTGATACACCAGCATCCGGAGGCCGTGGTAGGAGACCCGCTCCTCCTGGCTGCCTTCAGGGTTTCCTGGGCTTCCCTGGAGCAGTGCTGGTGGCGGTCAGCGGTCTCCCCACCCAAGCTCGGCCTCGAGAGATCTTTCCAACGCTCGGGGCGGGCGCGCCCGCTCTAAACTTCGTGGGTCCGCTTCGGCAAAGGCCCGCACCTCCCTGGGGGCGCCGTACTCTGGCTCGCCGCCCTCAGCCACTGGGGGGGGATATCCCAAAAGCCTTCCCGTGTCTCGGGGGCCCAGCCGGAAAGGTATCGCCAGCCCCTGGCCTCGCAGGCCCCCCTTTTCATCCTGGCCCCGGGGGCCCTTCTCATATGCTTCTGGACCCGAGGATGTGCCCCCTGATCCTCGAGATGGTCCTCCTCCAGTTCGACTGCGGCCGCGAAGGCGGCCTCAACGATGAGCCTCTCCTCCCCCCTGTCGTCCAGCAACTGATGGCCTTCTTGCGTCGCCCGGGGGACACGTGGCAAGGGTACCGCACGGCAGCCTCCACATACAAAAGAGCCTCTCTGGCCTCCTCCCCCTCTTCCGGTCGCCTTCCAGTCCACAGATGCGAGGTGCGGGAGTCGGATGCCTCCTCTGGGCGCAGGGGGTTATCCGGCTGCCTGAAGAGCCTCTCTGGCCTCATCCCCCTCTTCCCGTCGCCTTCCAGTCCACCGATGCGAGGTGCGGGAGAGTCGGAGGCCTCCTCTGGGCACAAGGGGGCTATCCGGCTGCCTGCACGAGAGCCTCGGTGGCCGCGCCCGGGCGGCCTCGGTCGCGAGCTGCGACCCCGCCACGGTGGATGCTCCGACCACATTGGTTCCCCTTCGCCGCCTTAAGGCTTGGGCAGCCCGCTCCTCACTGCCCACCCGCGCTCTCCGCGGGGCTATCACGCCCGCCCGCGCTCTCCGCGGGCACCCAGGGGCGCGCGCCCCTCCCGCGTCTATAGCGCCGCGGCCGGCCGCCCGGGCTGCCAGGGGCAAGCGCCGCTGGCGCGCAGCCTCACGCACGAGCTGGCGGGCCCGGCCGTCTGGCCCGAGTATACGTTCGGTGCCGCGGACTCGGGCGCGGCCTCCGCTCCAGGGACGGGCGTTGGGGCCGCTGTGCCCCAGGGCCCCCATCTCTCCCCCTTGGTCCGCGCGCGGTGGCGTCACCGCCGGGCCGTGTACCGCCTTCCCCGATGGCCCGGGCGGGCCTGAGCTCTCTCCGGGGGGCGCGGCCTCCGCACGAAACGAGAGCTGGTGGGCAAACTTGCAGCCACCATCACCAGATGTAGGACGGGGGAGAAGGGAGGATGAGGAGGTCCTCCTCCTCCTCCTCCTCCTCCTCCTCCTCCTCCTCCTCCGCCTCCTCCCTCTCCCTCGCCTGCGTACGGTAAAGGTGCTGGGAAATGTGCCCCTCAAGAGCCCCCCCGGCACGATCTCCCGCTGGCGCCCTCGGGCCGCGAGCTTCATATCGGGTGGCCCTCCGCGGGCCCTCCTCGACCCCGCAGGACGCATAGCCACCAGGCACGCCCGGCAGGGCCCCGTCGCCTCGCCCCTCTTCTTCCACCGACCGCACGAGGCAGCTCTCCGGCGAGCGCTTCGCCCATGGCCACCAGGCACGCCCGGCAGGTCCCCGTCGCCTCGCCCCTCTTCCGCCGACCGCACGGGGCAGCTCTGCTGCGAGCGCTCCCCCCCGTCGCGGCAAGGGCGCGGCTCCTGCCGTGTGGGCTCGCCCGGGCATGTCCTCCCACAGGCGGGCCCTGGAGGAAACATAGAACATACTCCAAAACGAAACGAAAAAGAACAAAACCATCGTCCCCATAGGACGATAAGGCCTTCGCCATTTTGAATAGAGAAAACTCCTAAACACAGGAAACATAGGAACATGTCCAATCATGCCCCCCCCTCCCCAAAACGAAAAAGAGCAAAAACCATCGTCCCCAGGCCCTGTTGCAACCATAGGGAACAACAAGTGACATACACAGAAAAAATCGGAGGTCCGCGCGGATTTCTCGGATCGGCGCTGGGGCCCCCCGGCGGCGCCTCCGGCGCCGCCCCTGGCGCGCTCCGCGCGCCAGGGAGGGGGGTCCAGCGCCGATCCGAGAAATCCGCGCGGACCTCCGAGTTTTCATGTTTATGCCACTGCTTGTTCCCCTGAACCATTCTCGAAGGTGCCTGTTGTAAGGGGGCATGCCCGACTTGACATCTGGGCTGGGCGGCCCCCCATTCAGACGCTGGAGTTCACCGCGGATGTCCTCCAGGGCGCGCCCGCCTGAGATATAGGGCGGCCCCAAACGGCACCCGTCCCAGGCCTGCCGGGCACGCGGCCTGGCAGAGCTCCCGGAGCCAACTGCCCAGCGGACGGCCCTGGCCACGGATCCTCTGACGAACGATCCATACGTACCCATACCCATAGGGGGGACGGAATGAGCTATGGGTGCGTGTTGTCAGATGGGGGTCCCCGCTCAAACGGGAGCCTCCCCAGGGGTTCGCACCCATATCCATAGCCAGTCCTCCTCCCTCCGACCTCCCTATAGGTATGGGTGTGTGTTGCTCGTTCGCCATCTTCGTCACCGCGCACTCCAGCGGGGGAAAGGCCGACGGACTCCCGTGGACGGGCGCTTCTATGATAGATCCTCGTCCTGGGCCAGGCCTCGACAGAAGTCCCCCCCCCGGGCTCGCCCTCCGCAAGCCGCTCGCCCCACTCGCGAAGCCAAGGGAGGTTTCCACCCCCGCCCTCGGCTGCTCCACGGCCCCCGGGTCTCCCCCGCGGCTGCCCAGTTCTCGTCTCCACCCCCGGGAACCGGGGGGCGGCCGCGCAACCCGTCGCCGTCGGTCGGTGGGCTCACGCTCCTCGGTGCGAGCAAGGGGGCCCAGGGAACGACCCCGTCTCCTCCCTCCTGGCCGGTGGGCCTTCGGGAGGGAGGCCTTGCAAGACTGTGGGGGCTGGGTCGGCAGGACCGGGGAAGCCTTCACTACTATATCGGCCCTCTCGGCTCTTCCGCTGGGCACCGCCGCCGGGGGGCCCCCGGCAAGATCGGCCGGGGCTGTTCTTCCCGGTAGACGCTGCGTAGGAACGCCCCTCCCCTCCCCTTCTTCCTCCCCCTCCTCCTCCCCCCTTCCCTTCTTCGCCCCTCCTGTTGCTCTTGTAGATTTGAACACATTGTCGCCTGTGGGAGGATAAGAGATTGCCCACACGGCGCTTGGCCGACGCTGCGCGAGATTCGTCGCCCGCCCTCCAGGGAACCGCTCCGGCACCGGAGCTGGCATGCAGACCGCCCTGTCTTACCTTGCCCTGCAGTTGACCGCCAGCATGTTCGCGCCCCTCGACCACAGGCGCCCCGCCGCCCCCACAGTGCGCTGTTGGCATGGGCGTTGCTGCAGTCCAGCGCCTCGAGACCCCGACCTCCATCATTCAAGCCCTCCCGGCGGCCCAACCAGGGCGCCTCTCGTCGCGGACTCGGGTGGGGGGGACTTCAATGCCACAAACCCGTGCGCGGGGGGGCGGGGGGGGACGCCCTCACCCTCCACCCTCCGCACCTTCCGCGCGGCAGGTTCCACGCCGCGGCGGCCGCCGCCGCGGCCGCCATTGCGGCTTCCACCGAGGCCGCAGCAGCGGTTTCGGCGGCGGCGGCGTCTGCCGCGGCGCGGCACCTGCGGCGCGGAAGGTGCGGAAGGTGGAGGGCGAGGGCGAACCCCCCAATCTCCGTCGCCGAGCGGACATTCGCGACGGACCCTGCTCGCCCGTGTTGGCGGGGGAGGCCGGCCGCGGTCTGGGTGCCGCTCCGCCCTGTCCCCGACGGCCTCGAAGGGATACCTTCGGCGACCCCGGCGGCGGCCCCTGCGAAGGCGCCCGGGGCCAGGAGGTCGGGGTCTTTTGTGGGTCCCGCATGCTGTGGAGAAACGCCCAGGGCATTGCGCCTCGGTGTCGGGGGGGCATCCAACACCGCCCCTTCGTAAAAAAAAGGTTGCAATCTGCACGGTCGAAACCAAATGGCTATGGGACGGGGAGAGGGACAGGAGGAAACGGGTAATTAGGCCACAGTGGGGACCCATGATGTTCAAGGACAGGCCCTGACAAGAACATCCCCTCCGATGTCAGGCACTGCGGAGACCTACTTCAGTCACACCCAGCACACAGACGGTGTATGACCGGTCGGCCCCCGCAGAACCAACAAACAAAAACGTCGTGCGCTTCAAAGAAAAACACCACAGCCGACCTGTCTTGGGGTGCACTCAGGCCAGAATTCCGAAGCAAGTCCAGCGGGGGCGACGACGAAGAGGCCCTGGAGGCTCACGAGAAACTTTGAACACATCTAGAAGAAGAAAAAACGCCACAAACAGAAACTTTTGGCGCTCCGCGCGGAGTTCTTGGATCCGCGCTGGAGCCCCATCCCTGGCGCGCGGAGCGCGCCAGGGGCGGCGCCAGAGGCGCCGCCGGGGAGGCCCAGCGCGGATCCAAGAGATCCGCGCGAAGCGCCACAAATTACGTTTGTGGCTTTCTTCTTCTTCTTCTTGTTCTTCTTCTTATTATTATTATTCTTCTTCTTCGTCTTCTTCTTCTTCTTCTTCTTCTTCTTCTTCTTCTCTTTCGAGCATTGAACCTCGAAGTTCGAACCGCGAGGGTTGGCAAGTTCACATTGCGATGGCGTCGGCATTGGCCTGTGACACCACCGTGCTCTGACGGCCCCAGGGCCCGGCGACGGCCCTCGGAGGCCGAAAACGGGGAGAGAAACCTCCGCCACAAGTTGTTCGGCACGCTGGACGACTGGGGACCTTGGCGTGGGTACGGCAGGCTCTTGTCGTGTCGACCCCGGCGTTGGTCCCTGACACCGCGGGGATCGTTCAACCTTGAACGATCGGCCGTTTGCGAAACGTCAGATCACTCAACATCGACCGAGTCTGGGTCGCCGGCGGCGTTCAACATTGAGCGCCAGCGGCAAGGTCGCCGCCCTTCGACACGACGCGAACCTGCCGTACGTGGCCTAAAAAAACAAAAACGGCAGAAACACGATCCGCGCCGATCTCTCGGATCTGCGCTGAACCCCCCTCCCTGGCGCGCAGAGCGCGACAGGGGCAGCGCCGGAGGCGTCGCCAGGGTATTCCAGCGCAAATCCCCCACGGAACTCCGAAAAAGAGCGTGCCGATCGTACGCCCGCCCGCCCTCTCCCTGGGTCCCTGCCCCGAGCACCGCCGTGGTCGCCGCCGACGAGCGAGGATCCCAGATCTCCGACGACATGAGTCCCAACCACGTTGTGGTGCCGTGTCCTCGCTTTGACCCTGCAGCGCCCCGCACCTCATCCCTTCCTATCCTTCGATGGCCAGCACCCTCTGGCAGGAGAGCCCAGAATCGAATCGGCAAGTCGGATCGGCGATCGAAGTGGGTCGAATCGGCGGAAATCGGCAGCCGAGTCGGGAGAGTCGAATCGGCGGAAATCGGCTGGCTAGCAGGCCTCCATTGAGATCGGAACCCAAATCGGAATCCAACACCGACCGAAGCGCGTCGGAGGAATCAAAAGGAACCCTGTCTGGCGGGGTCCTGCGCTGCTCCTCCGAGCCGGGGTCCTCCTCCTGGGGGCGGGGGGCGGGCAGCGCGGCGGGGGGGTGTTCGGTCGGGCATGTCCCCCTGCAGGCAGATTTTAGACGAAAAATCAAACATAGTCAAAAAACAAACATGATGAAACAAGGTCAAACATCGTTCCAAATCTAATGCTATGTTTAACTATTCCTCCTGTAGGGGAACGTGGCCGACGGAAGGGGAGAGGGGGTCGGTGGTCCGCACCCGCCACGCCTCGCCGTCGAGGCATAGGAGGGAGAGAGAAGGCGGAAGGAGGATAGGAGTGATAGGAGGGGGAGGGAGAGAAGGAGAAGAAGAATGAAGAGGGGGAGAAGGAGGAGGAGGAGGAGGAGGAGGAGGAGGAGGAGGGAGGAGGATGAGGAGGAGGAGGGAGGAGCAGGAGGAGGAGGAGGGGGTAAGGAGGAGGAGTAGGAGGGGGAGGTAGCAAAGGGGGGGGAGGAGGGGGGGGAGGAGGAGAGGAGGAGGAAGGAGGCAGGGAAGGAGGAGGTGAGGAGGTCGGAGGTGTAGGAGAGGGGCGGAGGAGGGAGTGCGGCGTTCGGCTCTGGGCTGCCTGCGGCCCTTTAGGGGGGGGCTTACAGGGAGTAGTTGGTCATTATGGTAAGGAGAAGTGGGCGAGGAGTCTGTCACGAGAGAAGGAGGAGGGACACGCGCCCGTCTCAACCCTGGGGTGGGCCCGACGCGCGCACTGCCAAGAAGCCTGGCGGCGCAGCACAGCCCCGGCAAACACCAGGCCAGGCGAGGCCGGGAGCCGAACGGCTGGTGCCAGTCCGCCTCCGCCCCCGCCTGCCCTCGCCACTGCCCCCCCCTTCCCTGGCCGCTCTCCTCCTCCTCCTCCTCCTCCTCCTCCTCCTCCTTCTCCTCCTTCCTCCTCCTTCCCTCCCGTGTCTTTCCTTCCTCCTCCTCCCCTCCTCCTCCTCCTCCTCCTCCTTATCCTGCCCCTCCTCCTCGTCGTCCTCGTCCTCCTCAACCTCCTCGTCCTCCTCCGCCTCCTCCTCGTTTTCCTCTTCCTCCTCCTCTTCTTCCTCCTCCTCCGCACGTACTTCAGAGGAGCGCCGCGTTCGCGAGCCATGTTCGCTTGGCCCCCCGCGCACTGGATGGGGCCCGATGTACCTCAAGGGCCGTACCTCCCCCCCTGGGGGTGCGGCAAATGCGGTGCAGCTGACAAGTGGGCGAGTCGCCTCAGATGCCGTGGCTGCAGGAACATAACCCCGCAGAAGGTGCAGCAGGCGGCCCAGCAGGCACCCAGGTTGCGCCAGAATGGGGGAGGGAAACACGTCGGCGGCAAATGATCTGGTCGCGCGGGACCACGGGACCTGGGGGTCATCATTGCCGCCATGCAGAAGAAATCCCACCAGCCCTCTGGACTTAGGTGGTATAACGCGTTGTTTTTTTCTCTTCCACTGAAGCCCCTCCCCCTACCCCCTCCCCTGGGCCAGGAAGGGAGGGTACCGAGGCGTTAGAGCGTCCAAGATGGCCCAATATTGCTCCAGGAGGGCTTCGAAGTCGCAAGATGGCCTCCAAGATGGCCCATGCTACTTCAAGATGGGTCAAGATAGCCTCCGACATACCCCCATGAGGCCCCCAAACAGCCCCAAGGCGGATCCAAGTGCCCTTTTCGAGCCCTCCACAGCGCTTTCCAAGATGCCAAAACCGTTCGACTGCCTAGGGAAACCGATGTGTTTGGCATTATCGCCCCTTCGCTTCCGATGGGCTTTGGAAGCCTCAAGGTGGCCCCAAGATGGCCCACAAGAGGCCCAACAGGGACCCAAAAGGGCCGAAGACGGCTCCAAGATCGCCCAAGAGGCGCCCAAGAGCGCTCCAAGAGGGCCCCAAGATGCCGTTTGAGAGCCTCCGGGGGGGGGGGGGGGAATTCCTCCCCCCCTCTTTTTGAACCATGGTGTTCAAGATGGCCCCAAGAGGCCCCCCAGTCTCTCCCAAAGACCCTCCACCCTGCCCTTTTTGACCCAAGGTGGCTCCAAGAGAGCCCCAGATAGCCCAAGATGGCCTGCAACACGGCCTAAGATAGCCAAGCATGGCTCAAGATAGCCTCCGGCAGCCCTCCAATAGGCCTAAAGGCAGCCTCAAGATGGCCCAAGATAGCCGAGAATGGCTCAATATAGCCTCCGACAGCCTCTAGCCGAGCATGGCTCAATATAGCCTCCAAGAGGCCTCGAGAAAACTGGCAAACAATAGTGCATGGGTTGGTGGGGATACTTTTTTGATCTGCGGCTCAAAGGACGACTCCAGAGAGCGGGTCAATCTCGACAGGGGCGAAAAGCGAGACGATTGGCAACGAAGGCGCATAGGCCAACGCCGCAATGCACGTGCGAAGGACAAAATGAACCTCATTAGAGCCGACCCGGGAACGGAAGACGGCAGCAGACTGAAAAAGCCGGCGGAGGGTCGCACTGTGGCGCCAGCCCCACTGGTGGGGATACGCGAAGCGTCGAGAATTTGGCATGCTGCTGGAGAAGGAGGGGAAGTCCACCGCCGCCCCCGCTGGGGGACAGCAGCATCAACAGCAGTCGGCAGGAGGTCCCAGCTCACATTCGCACAAGGATGTGCTGGTCTTCCTCAAAGACAAGAAGTGCGACGAGGAGGTCTTGCAGTCGACCACCAAGTGCCAGCAGCGCGAGCAGGCTGAGCACCAGGCCTCGGTCGTCACTGCGAGGCCGAGGGTCGAGAACTTACGGAAGGAGCCCAAGAAGCAGGACCTCCAGCTCCAGAAGATCAAGGAGCGCCGCGAGCAGCTCCTCAAGGAGGAGGCTGGGCTCCTCGCGGCCATGCAGGACACCCAGAAGAACTTTGCTGCTGCAGAGGCTCTATACGTACGCGTGCATGCCGTCGGCATCAATGACGTAGTCAAGGTCACGACGGCCGCGCTGGATCCCAGCCTGCACGCGAATGCTGAGGCCAAGGCTGCCATGGAAGTGCTTGCGAAGCTCCAGCAGACCGTCCTCGGCCTCAAGGGCGCTGCGGAGAAGGCTCAGGAGCCTCTGCTTGCTGGCGGCGGCGCTGCTGGTGCTCGTCCTAGCGCTCGGGCAGCTGCCAGCAGGGCGCCAGCTGACATCCCTGCAGGGTAAAACGACGAGGGCATCGACATGGGCGCCCTCAGCGCTGAGAACTTCGAGGAGCGCGCGGCCGAATTCAAGGCTGCGGCCGAGGCGCTCCGCACAGCCGCCCCAGAGGCGCAGGAAGCAGCCAAACGCAAATTGGTGTGCTGGGTGAGCGCATGCCCCGCGTTGGTGTGCTGGGTGAGCTGCGGATTGAGCTTCTGAAGCTGCTCCCGTGATTATGTGAGCTTCGTCTGCAGCCCGGAAATGACCTCTTTGTCCTTTTCCGCGCCCATGTTCTGAATCGTCTGTGGCAGCATCCCAATCCGCTCTCGACACTCATCGCCCCCCCCCCCCCCCCGTGGTTCGCATCCGACGTTGGCCCCCGACTCGGGCCCGACCACGCTGGTGGAGCTGCCCCAGGACCTGGTTTGGCCATCTTGTCGATCTTGGTAGTGAGCGCTGCAATCTGCGTGGCTTGAGCCTCGAACTTCGCTGCCCAAGGCCTTGGTGGTGGGTCGTTCCGCCCTCCTCCGCCGCCGTTGGCAGTCGTGTCTGCAACCTTCGTCTCGTCCATGTTCGCCCTCGGCGCAGCAGCCCCGCACGCACACTGGACCCGTGTTGCCCAATTGGACGACCTGCCGCATTGCCCACAACCCCACTGGGGGTCTTCGGCCCCTTGAAACAAGTGCGCCCATGAATCCCCAATCCGCACTGGTCCGTGAATGCCCTCGCGGGCGGGAAAGAAGCTGCGCCCCCCTCAGGAGCTCACTGGAGAGGGGCCTGGCGGGCGAGGCTATGCCGCCTGCCTACCCGCCTGCCCCAAATCGCTGTCCTGGCCAGCTGCCTTGACAAAACGGCAACTTGAGCCAACATGGCTTGAACCAAAATGGCTACGACCTCCTCGTCCTCCTCCTCCTCTTCCTCCTCTTCCGCCTCCTCTTCCCCCCCATCCCCCTCCCCCCCCCACCCATCCCCTCCCCTCCCCTCCCCTCAACACCTCCTCCTCTTCCTCCTCCTCCTCTATCCTCCTCCTCCTCCTCCCTCCTCAACCTTCCTCACTCCTCCTGCCCCTCGTCTCGCCCTCCTTCTCCTCACTCCTCCTCCTCCCTCCTCTCCACCTCATCCTCCTCCTCGTCCCACTCCACCTCCCCTGCCTCCTCCTTCCACGCGTCTCCACCTCCTCCGCCTCCGTTCCTCCTCCTCCTCCTCCTCCGCTCTCCTCCTCCTCCGCCTTCCTCCTCCTCCTCCTCTTGCTCATCCTCCTCCCCCCCCTCCTCCCCATCCCCTCTCCTCATCCTCCTCCCTCCTCCTCCTCCTCCTCCTCCTCCTCCTCCTCCTCCTCCCCCCTCACCTCCCTCTCTCCTCCTTCCGCCCTCCTCCTCTCCTCCTCCTCTCCTCCTCCTCCTCCGCATCCTCCTCCTGCTCCTCCTACCTCCTCCTCCTCCTCACCGTTACGTCTCACATCATCATCACATCGTCATCATCCTCTTTTTCCTCCTCATCCTCCTCCTCCTCCTCCTCCTCCTCCTCCCCTCCCCTCCCCCTCCTCCCTCGTCCTCATCCTCCTCCCCCTCATCCATCCTCCCCTCCTCCTCCGCATCCTCCCAGTCCCCTCCACCTCCGCCTTCTCCTTCCTCCTCCTCCTCCTCCTCCTCCTCCTCGTCCTCTCACCCGCCTCCTCCTCATCCTCCTCCTCGTCCTCCTCCTCCTGCTCCTCTCATCATCTCTTCGCCTCATCCTCCGCCTCCTCCTCGCCTCCCCCTCCCCCTCTCAAAACTTCTCCTCCTCTCCTGTTTCCCTCCTCCCCTCCCTCCTTTTCCTACGCCTCTTTCTTCCTCCTCCTTCCTCCGCCTCCTCCTCTTTCTCTTCCTCCCCTCACTCCTCCTCCCCCTCCTCCTCCTCCTCACAGCACTCCTCTCCTCCTCCTCCTCCTCCTCCTCCTCGTCGTCCTCCTCCTCAGCCGCCTCCGTTTCCTCTTCCTCCTCATCCTTCTCCTCCTCCTCTTCCTCCTACTCCTACTCCGCCTGCTCCTCCTCCTGCTCTTCCTCCTCATTGTCCTGCTCCTCCTCCTCCTCCGCCTCCTCCTCCTCCGCCTCCTCCTCCTCCCCCACTTCCACCTCCACCATGCCTCCAACCTCCTCCTCCTCCTCCGCCTCCTCCTCGCTTCTCCTCCTCCTCCTCCTCCTCCTCCTCCTCCTCCTCATAACCTCCTCCGCCTCCTCCTTTTCCTGCTCCCCCTCCGCCTCACGTCCCGTCCTCCATCTCCTCCTCTCCTCATTCCGCCTCCTCTGCTCTCCTCCTCCTCCTCCTCCTCACTCTTCCCCCTCCCCCTCCTCCTCTTGCTCCTGCTCCTTCTCCTCCTCCCCCCCTCCTACTCCTTCTCCTCCCCTCCTCCCTCCTCCTCCTCCTCCTCCTCCTCCTCCTCCTTCTCCTCCCACCCCTCCTCCTTCTCCTCATCCGCCTCCTCCTCCTCTCCTTCTCCTCCTCCTTCTCCTCCTCCCCCTCCATCCCCTCCTCCCTCCTCCCCATCCCCTTCCTCTTTCCTGCTCCACCTCCTTCCTCCTCCTTCTCCTGCTCCTCCTGTCCTCCTCCTCCTCCTCCTCCTCCCCGCTTAGTTTGCCCCTACTCCTCTCCTCCTCCTCCTCCTCGTCCTCCTCCTCCTCCTCCTCCTCCTCCCCTCCCCTCCTCCCCTCCCCTCCTCCTCCCCCTCCTCTTCCTACTCCTCCTCCTCCTCCTCCTCTCCTCCTCCTCCCCCTCCTCCTCCTCCTCCTCCTCCTCCTCCTCCTCCTCCTCCTCTCTTCCTCCTCCTCCTCCTCTCCTCCTCCTCCTCCTCCTCCTCCTCCTCCTCTCCTCCTCCTCCTCCTACTCCTCCTCCTCCTCCTCCTCCTCCCGTACCTCCTCCTCCTGCTCGTCATCTCCTCATCCTCCTCTTTCCCCCCCTTCTGCCCTCCCATGGAGACCTCCTAAAAGAGGTCGGACAGATGGGGTCGGAGGCTGGCGCCGCAGCGCCGATGCATTCGGCAATGCATCGGCCAATGCATCGCCCGATGCATCGGCAATTCACTGGCGACGTCGGCGATGCATCGGCGACGTCGGCGTGAAGCAAATCGGGCTCCACATCGAGCTGCATGGGCGATGCATCGGCGATGAGGCGCGATTCTGCGACCCCATCTAACCGGACCCCATATGCCCCCATGTACTCGGACCCCATCTGGGAGGCCTAGACACCCCCCTCCTTCCCTGGCCGGTCTCCTCCCTCCGTGTTTTCTGTCGAGGGCGAGGGGCGGGGCAAAGATCGGGCCCTCTCTGCAGAAGCAGGGCGCTGGCTTGTCGGCGATGCATCGGCGACGTCGGCGTGAAGCAAATCGGGCTCCACATCGAGCTGCATGGGCGATGCATCGGCGATGAGGCGCGATTCTGCGACCCCATCTAACCGGACCCCATATGCCCCCATGTACTCGGACCCCATCTGGGAGGCCTAGACACCCCCCTCCTTCCCTGGCCGGTCTCCTCCCTCCGTGTTTTCTGTCGAGGGCGAGGGGCGGGGCAAAGATCGGGCCCTCTCTGCAGAAGCAGGGCGCTGGCCCATACATCTATAGAGAAGGCCCGCGCATTCTGAGAGGCAGCCTCCTTCTAAGAAACCTTCCCCCCTCCCCCTATACTGATGGGCCTGTTTTCCACCGCCACCAGCATAAGTTGGAGGGGGAGGGGGTCCTCCTCCTCCTCCTCCTCCTCCTCCTCCTCCTCCTCGTCCTCCGTAGCCATTTTGGCTCAAGATGCTTTGTTCCACAGGGGAACACGTGGATACCGCTAGTCCGCGGCCAGTGCCAGGGCGTTTCTGCCCGACGTTTCTCATTCAACCTGTGAGCTCCTGGTGGAGCGTTTCGACCCACTCCCAGACGGCAGCAGGCACCACGTGTGTGCGATGGCGCCGCCGTCCAAGAAATGGGCTTGGTCTATCTGCAAGAGCTGCAACATTTGGGCGTACGACTGGAAGATCAAGCGCAATGGGGGCTGCTGCGCCAAGTGCGACTCGTTCGTCGCTCTCTGGGCGGACACTCCCTCGGCGTCGCGCAAGCCACCATGGGGAGACCAACCTACAAAGGGCACCTACGCGGAAGTGGTGTGCAGGCAGCTGGCCCACGCCGTCTCCAAGCTGGGGCCCGACCAGAGCATGCAGGAGCAGCTGGAGCACCTGCAGACCACCATCTCCCAGAAGTGCGCCCCGCCCAAGAAGGAGTTACCCAAGTCTGCGGCTCTCAAGCAGGCAATCGGCAAGGTCAATTCCGCCAAGGCTAAGCTCGACGGAATCACCAAGCGACACATGGACGCTGAGAAGGCGCTCGCCAAGCTCGCTGAGCAGGTGGCGCAGGCAGCGGAGGAGGTCTACGAGGCACAGCAGGAGCACTCGAAGGCCCTGGAAGAATACAACATGCACTCAGCGGCGGAGGGCACGGCGGCTAAGCCCGAGCAGACGGGCTTCCAGGTGGACGAGAGCCTCTTCGCCGACGAGGATTTGGAACAGACTCAGAAGGGCCAGCTTGCAAAGTTCAGGGAGGACGCGAAGTCCTTGCAGGAGCTGCTCGAGCGCGCCAAGACGCAGCAGGAGGCTCTGCTCACCATGGTCGAGAGCGCGAAGAAGATCAAGGCGGATCACGCGGCAAAGAAGCGCAGGATCAACGAAGGAGGGCAAGCACACGCACATGTTCCACCACCTGCTCAAGACGCCAAGCCTGAGACACCACCACAGCAACAAGCCAGCGATCCAGATGCAGAAAAGCGCAAGGCAGAGGCGATCGCCAAGCTCATCGAGGAGAACAGGGAGCGTACCAGGGCGGCATCTCAGAGGGCGACCACCACTTCACCTACGGCTGGTACGGCTGCTGCGGGCGGCGCTACGGGCTATTCTTCTGGTCGGGCTGGCATTTAGCCCGCCATGGCAGCCGCCTGCAGCGCTGGACAGGCCTCCAGCACCGCCGCCCCCCGAGTGGTCAGCCTTCCCTGGTCCCCCTGGGACTTCGCCCCCGTGTCTCGGGGATCGCACCTCCTCGTCCGCGCCAGATGTGGACGCAGCTTGTCAAGACTGGCGGCGCAGCCAGAGTGAGAGAGCTCGCAATCAGACATGTGAGACAGCCAAGCCAGCGAAGGTCACCAGTATTTTCTTCAGCAACATCACACAATGGGGCGAGAAGCCTCAGAAGTTCCTCAACGAGAGCCAGGAA